ATATGGTGTAAAATGAAGTAGAGATTTGGCAATGATCCTGTAAGTTGATTAACGTAGATGACCATTATATAACAGAGCCTATATCTATATTGATAAAATTACTAGATGTTACACTTCATCTTATTTAGTATTGTGTAGATTGCCAAATATAATTTAATTTCAGTTAATGCAAACATTATTTTTTTAGTTCAGATGGTGGTTTTTAAAAAGATTATGTGATAACAAGTATAAAGGTAGATTACTTTATCTAATTAAAATTTGATTGCAATTTGAAGGGAGAATGATTTGTTTTAAAAAATGACTAAAATATTATAGAATTGTGCTATTTCTCAGTTTCTTTCAGAAAACTTAAGAATATAGTGTAGAATTTTTAATTTTGGAAATTTATTTCAATCTGATATAATTATAAAGCTTAATTTGAATAGGCTAATAAATTTATACTACATGCTTTATAGGCAAGAAACAACACTTGTGAGATCATGTGGGAATAATATAAACCAATAAACCCTCTGTGACCACTGATATTAAAATTTTGGGCAAAAGGATAGCATAGGTCTCCCAAAGTGCCAAAAGGTCTTTTTGATGCTTTGCTGATTTTATTCCCAGAGGGAAGTGTTCTGGCAGCTGAGCTGATCCTGAAATACGAGCACTTGCTCCATAGTCATCAGAGAACATTCTGTTTTGAAATTTCCATTGGATTGCTTGGGACAACCCCTGTTTTGAACTTTTGATGTTCTAGCTCTGATGGGTTTGCAGGGGAGATTTCATGCTAGTTGAGTCTAGCAGTAGGCAGATGACGATAAAATGTCCTTTGTCTGTTCTCTTGGCTATGTAGCTATGTAGTGTGGATGATCGCTCCTAGAATATTTAAGAATTCTTTGTTGCCAGTCTTTTTTCCCTCTAACACGTGCCTCTTGGTTTGGGATAACATGAATTTCTTTCTGTTTTAATTCTTGGGAAACAAGAGTCTGAAAAAAGTGTATAGACGACTGTAATTTATTATTTTAACTCCACAGAGGAAACATGGTCATGTACTTTATGCCTTTTTTATGTAATTGCTAAGAATCATTCAGAATTCATGAGTTGGCTTAATCTTACTTGGGTGATATTACTAAGAAAAGATTCAAGTCTGCAAAAATGCTGCCAATTCAACTCCTAAATTATGCATTTTACATGTAAACATTGCAAATTGTAAACTACTTTAAGTGAATTTTTAATCTAATATTTAGCATTAAAGTTTAAGTTGTTGCCTGGGATTTCAAATGTGGAAATACACTTTAAAAGGAAGTAGAGGCTTCTTTTTTTTTTATAGGAATGAAAAAAATGGAACATCTAAAATGTGAAAAACATCCATTACATCCTCCTTCTTACTCTAAGAAGTTTTTGATTATACCCAGTTCAGTCGATGTGTTAAGGTGGAGTCCTGAGACATAATGACAAAACAACTTTATTTTGTCTTCCACCTCCCTTCAAATTTGTTCTAGAGCCAGTTCTTTCTCTAGTCACTCTGAATTTAAAAGTAAAAACAAAACAATAAAATCTCCAGAAGCCAGTGATGCACCCTCTGGGAATCCATAGATCTACCTCTAGCTTCCATGGAGATCCCATCAAGAAACCCTCGTGGGCAGAACCTATGATGATGAACCCTCACCTTGACCCATTGTAAATACTCAGGCATCCTTTGTCCTAATACATTTAGGAAACCTAGGCCCCTTTTCAGGGTGGGGATGGGATGGGTCTTACCGCATACCGCACTCTAATTTAAAAATTCTCTCCATAAAGTCTCTTTACTTTTTACTAAAGTCTTTTTACTTCTGACTTACTTATTCCCTTTATAGTCCTCAAAATTATATAACCAGTTTTCAGCCATCTTTTTGGAACAAATTTTTCAGGGTAGTCCATCTTAAAATTCTCTCTGATATCTAATATCTTAGGGTCTTAGGTTATTTTCTTTAAAAATCCTGTTCCATAGAGAATTATAGTAGCTAATGAGAATAACAGCATTTTTTTTTTTTTTTGAATTGGAGTCTTACTCTGTTGCCAAGGCTGGAGTGCAGTTCACGCTCACGGCTGCCCCAGCATCAACCTGCTGGGCTCTGGCGATCCTTCCGCCTCAGCCTTCCAAGTAGCTGGAACTACAGGTGCACGCTACTGTGCCCAGGTAGTTTATTATTTATTGTAGAGACAAGGTCTCGCCAAGTTGCCCAGGCTGGTCTCAAACCCGCAGGCTCACGCAATCCACCTGCCCTGGCCTCCCAAAGTTCTGGGATTACAGGTTGAGCCGTGGAGCCTGACAATAACAGCATTTTTATGTTAAATGTTTCTATCTACATTAGACAGAATAGAGCAGGGTATTTACAAATAAATTGAGTTTTTATTGCTCAGTATAAGTCCTGTTGTTCCTCAGACATATCTTTCTTTTCATCCTAATCATAATACAAGTGATGGTATCATCAGATCACTTGTTTTCTGTGACATGATCTGTACTTCCATGCCTTTTGATATGGTAGAAATTGTACTTAATCTGAAGTTGGAAGATACAAGTCTTTTTATTTTATTTTATTTTTTAAATGTAGGGTACAAATGGGGGTTAGGTACAAAGTGGTCATTATATAGGTAAAGTGTGGATACACTTATTGATGTTATATGCCCCCTTTCTCCTCTGGCAGGGTCCCACTACTGCCAATCCCTTTCTTATAGTATTATGATAAATGTTCAGGGTCTGCTTATGAGTGAGCACATGTGGTACTCAGATTTTTGTTTCTGTAATAAATCGCTGAATAATACAGATTCTGATTCCATCCAGGTTGCTGCAAAGTTCATAATTTTGTTTTTCCTTATGGCTGCATAATATTCCATCATATAAATGTACCACATTGTCTTTATCCAGTCCACTTTCGTTGGGCAGCACGGTTGGTTCCATGTTTTTGCTATTGTGAATAATGCTGCAGTAAACATGCATGTGCAGATATCTTTATTATAGGGTGATTTGAGTTCCTCCAAGTATATTCCCAGAAGGGGGATTGCTGGGTCGTATGGAAGGTCGATTTTCAGATTTTTTAGAAATTGCTGCTGTTTTCCACAGAGGTTGTACTAGTTTACATTTCCACCAACAGTGTAGAAGTGTTCCCTTTTCCCTGCATCCTCTCCAGGATTTGTTGTTTTTTGAGTTATTGATGATGGCCATCCTGACTGGAGTTAGCTGGTATCTCAGTGTGGTTTTAATTAGATGCAAGTCTATTTATTTATTTATTCGTTTATTCATTCATTCATTCATTCATTCATTGTAGAGACGAGGTCTCACCAAGATGCCTGGACTGGTCATGAACCAGGCTCAGGCGATCCACTCACCTCGGCCTCCCAAAATGCTGGGATTACAGCCTGAGCCACCAAGCCCAGCCCTAGTTGCAAGTCTTAATATTAATACCTTAATAACTTAGGCAAACCTATTTCTTTGGACCTTAGTGTTTTCATTTGGAAATTTAATTTATTGGATTAGATAATTTACTAGCATGTAATTATTGTGTTCCTGTTGTGTGCTTTCTTAGACCTTATGGTATAGTGGTGAGGTTATGTTAAACAACCACACTAATGAAGGTATGATTACAAGCTTGGATTGTGTTCTGACACTGCTTTGTGAGACCCTGACTTAGATTGAGAGGTCAGGGAAAGGTTTTCTGTGAGAAGGTAATACTTGATCTAATGTAAACAATGAGTGGGTTACTGAGTAAAGAGGTTGGGGTTTGGAACAAAGCAAACCAGGCAGAGAAATGACAGAGAACAGAGTAAAGGCTCTGATTCTAGAAACCAAGAGAAATTTAGCTGGTAAAATGGATCATATTTATTCATGGATCAGATTTGGGAGATGATGAGAGAGTAGGAGTTCAGAAAGATTTCTGAATTTCTGGCTTGTCCAACTTGATCCTGTTTGAGCCATTCACTACCATAGGGAATTTCAGAAAGGAGCCAGAATATACGCAGGAGGCGGGGCATGGAAGGGAAGGGTTTGATCTTGGACAAGTTGACTTTGGAGGTGACCTTGCCATGTGGCGATATCTAGGAGCCAATGGATATATGAGGAGAGGTTTGGAATATATTGGAGATCTATATATCTTAATGTAGGCTTGATATGGTTAGGTACCCTAAATGTTCACTAGCAATAATCATGTGATGGTGGTCATCCTCCGTGTCTGGTTCTGTCCTCATCATATACCTTTGATGGTGTGTGATAGTATTTAGCTCTGTTTTACAGATGAAGGAACAGACTCAAGAGATTAAGTAACTTGTTGGGGGTCACACAGCTAAGTAGATGAAGAGCCAGATTTCAAGCCAGGTCTGCCTCAGACCTACAGCTTTACAAGTTCTGAAAGCAGTTGATTTAGAATATTTCTTCTGTAGCTGTCTTAAACTCTGAGTTTTCAGGTTTAACTTTATGAAGCGAATGAAGTTGGTTTTCTATAGTTTCTGCTGCCCAGCAGGGAGTCTTGCTCCGTGCTAGCAGACCTGCTGCTTCCCTGCCCCACCTGTGTCCTGCGTAGTTCTTCCTCTGCTTTCTTTACTGTGGTGGTTTTTCCCATCTATATCTTTCTCTTTCATTCTTAGTTCATGTCGGTCTTTCTCTCTCTTTTTAAGTTTAGATCAAAGATTGTGTGAGTTCTGCTTGATATTGGTGACTTGATGGTGGAGGGTGCATACCATCCTGTATATTTAGGGGGTCCCATTTCCTCCACTTCTTCCTTGGAATACTATCTGAAGAATGCAGAGATGGGAGGTTCTGGTGCCAGTTGACCTCCATACTTATTCTTAAGAACATTTCCACTGAGTGGTATTTACTATGAATTTATCATACCGTTGTAACAAATGTACTCCCTAACCTACTTCCACCCCTCGAGGTATCTTGTTCTGAATTCATTGCCACCTCCATGATTAAGTAGCCTTTCCTTTCTGCCTTCTAGTGCCTGAAGTAGTTTCAACTTTTTAAAACTTAGAGTCTTCCCCTAATGTTGTTTAACTTAGAGACTTTTCCTGATGTTGTCAAGTGTTTTCTATTCTCTCACAGGTGACTTATTTTATGAAACATTTTAATCTGCAAGTTTAACTCCTGAGAACATCATCAGACTACTATATGTGAAGAATGTAACGTTCTATAGAAAGGAGGTGTTATGTACCTTTATTTTTTAGACTAGTTGTAATAATAACAGTATGCTATTGTGTTACTTTTTTGGGAGAATTGAGATACTATCACTTCAAAATAAAACAGTTTGAGATACTGCCATAGACTTAATGTATTTTTCATGATTTAGCATAGCTTCTTTGTAAGGTCTCCCTGATCTCTTTTGATCTCCTGTTATTTCCATATTCTTCCATCGTCCCAGGGAGGCAGGCATTCTTTGCAGAAGAGATAACAGTTATTTTGACTTCCCAGGAGTTGGCTCTGGTGAATCATGGTTTTCTTTTTTTGAATTTTAACAGTCTTATTGATGTATAATTTATATTCCACAAAATTTGCCCGCTTAAAATATAAAATGCAATGATTTCTACTAAACTTAGAGTTGTACAGCCATCACAACTATCTAGTTTTAGAAATTTTCCGTCACTAGAAAGTCCCACTGAGCCTATTTGCATCAATTTTTACTCCCTCTTTTAAAGCCTCAGGCAGCACTAATCTACTTCCTGTCTCTATAGATTTGCCTTTTTTTAGACATTCTATATATGTGGACTTATATATTATGCTGTGTTTTGCATCTGGCTTCTTTCATTTAGCAATATGAGGCTTATCCATATTGTAACATGTATCAGTAGTTTGATGCATTTTATTTCTGAATAGTATTCCATTGTATGGATGTATCATATTTTGTCTATCAGTTCAGCAATTGGCGGTTATTTGTGTTATTTCCCTTTTGGGGCATGATATGAATAATGCTGATGTGAACATTCATGGTCGAGTCTTTGTGTGGACATATATTTTATTTTACTTTAATAGAATTCTAGGAAATGGAATTACTGACTCGTATAGCATGTTTATATTTAACTTATTTTATTTAAGATAATTAATTTCTTTTTTTATTGAAAAGATGTGGGGTACAAGTAAGGGTTAGATACATAAGTAGTTTATGTGCAGGTGAGGTTTGGGCCCCCCACTGGTTCTCCCTTCCCCTAGTTTAGGGCCAGGTACCCTTAGCGATGTCAAGTGCCCCACCCCACACTCCTTCCCCTGGCAGTACCCCTACTGCCATGTTTAACTTTTTTTTTTTTAATCAATATTTTTTATTATGATTTTGTGGGGTACAGTTAAGGGTTAGGTGTACAATTACGTTTCATTCAGGCACCCTGTTGATAAGAGGTGTTTCCCCATCCCCAGACAGATATTTGCGACTGTTAATCCCATCCCCCCCATAGTTTCCCAGTACCGTCAGTCATTTTCTTACAGTATTACATTGGATGTTCAAGGTCCATTATATGAGTGAGAATATGTGATACTCGGATCTTTGTTTCTGTGAGAGACTCAGTATTATAGACTCTAGTTCCATCCAGGTTGCTGTGAAATTCATGATTTTGTTCTTTTTTATGGCTGCTTAGTATTCCATCATATGTACCACATTTTTTTAATCCAGTCCTCTTTTGACGGGCAGCATGGTTGTTTCCAGGTTCTTGCTATTGTGAACAACGCTGCGATAAACATATGTGTGCAGGTATCTTTTTTATAGAGTGATTTGAGGTCGTCAGGGTATGTTCCCAGTAGGGGGATTGCGGTGTCATATGGAAGGTCGATTTTTAGAGCTTTTAGGAATTGCCACATTGCTTTCCACAGAGGTTGCACTAGTTTATACTCCCACCAACAGTGTAGAAATGTTCCCTTTTCACCACACCCTCTCCAGCAGCTGTTATTTTTTGAGTTGTTGATAATTGCCATTCGGACTGGAGTTAGGTGGTATCTCAGTGTGGTTTTGATTTGCATCTCCCTGATGATTAATGAGGTTGAGCATTTCTTCATGAGTTTCTTGGCTGCTCGAATGTCTTCTTTTGTGAAGTGTCTGTTCATATCTTTTGCCCATTAAGCCCCACCACCTACCACTGGGGAGAAGAGAACCTATTCAGTAAATGGTGCTGGGAAAACTGGCTGACCACATGCAGAAGATTGAAACAGGACCCCTATCTATCCCCATGCACAAAGGTTAACTCCAAATGGATCAGAGACCTAAATGTAAAACCTCAAACCATAAGAACCTTAGAAAATGAAGGAAATACCCTCATGGAAATCGGAACTAGTGGTATCTTATGGTGGTTTTAATATATATTTTCTTACTTAATAATGGTATCAAGCATCTTTCCATGTGTTTATAAACCCTTATTGAAAGGTTTTTGCAGATCTTTAGCCCATTTTAAAATGAGGTTGTCTTTTAAGTTATTGAGTTGTAATAGTTCTTTGTATATTTTAGATATTAAGTTCTTTATCCGATATATGATTTGTAATATTTTCTACCAATCTGAACCTTGACTTTCTATTTTAAGTCTTTTGAAGATGAACATTTCTAAATTTTAACAAAGTCCAACTTATTGATTTATTTGATTTTATGGTTCATGGTTTTGGTGACATTTTAAAGATCTCTGACTAATCCAAGGCCACTAGACTGTTCACCTATTTTATTGTAGACATTTTTTTAGTTTCAGCTCATTCATTAAGGTCAACGAACATTTTATGTTGATTTTTGTTAATTCTGGGAGGTAAGAATTCTTGTGTTGTGGCATCTTATTATTGTCCCAGTACCATTTGTTTAAACGATGTTTTTTTCCTCCCTTTTATTGTCTTGTACTTTTGTAGAAAAGTGTTAGACCATAAATTTAAAGGCTTATTTTGGTGCTCTCTGTACTATACCACTTACCTATATATCTGTCCTTATGCTAGGATACACAAACAGATAATATGCTGTATAATTACTGTCTTGATTACTATAACTATATAGCAAGTTTTAAAATCAGGAAGTGTGAATTCTTCATCTTTGTTCTTCTTTTTGAGTTTTCTTTTTCTGTGTGTGTGTAAGTGTGTGTGGCTATTCTAGTTCCTTGCTTTTCTATATGTTTTAGAATTTGTCAGTATCTGCAAAAAGACTACTGGGATTTTGTTTTGGCTTGCTCTGAATCTATAGATCAATTTGGAGGGAATTGACATCTTAACAAGATTGAATCTTCCAATTCATGAACATTGTATATTTTTTCATTTATTTAGGCTTGTTGATTTCTTTCATCAGTGTTGTCTACTTTTCTATTATAGATGCTACACATACTCTGTTAGGCATATATAAACATTTAATTTTACAGTGCATTGTAATTATAACTGTAATTTTAAATTATAATTGCAATTTGGCTGTTCTATTGTAATGATACTTTAGAAAATTTAGTTTAGTTCTTAACTTTCATTCCCACTGTAAGTTTTGCTCAGGCCCTATCAATTGAATTCTTCCATGTTGTATTTGAATCTGGCCAGATATCAGAGAGTATCTTACAAAAGAGAGTAAATAGCCGCTAACATTTTTCAGTTGTAATTTCCAAGAGGTAAAGGGAGGAACCATTTTTATTATTGTGACTCAGTGACTGGTCAGCAGTTGTTTAGTAAGACTATCATGTCAGTCTATTCATGTTATTAATAAAAATGTGATAATGTAAAGCACACAAACCTTTCTGAAGTTGTTTGGACTATTGGGAAAGGGCGAGCATATAACCTCCCTTTTCCTTCTTCTGTAGGTGTTGCAGCATCCTTGGAAGTGTCAGAGAGCCCTGGGAGTATCCAGGTGGCCCGGGGTCAGACAGCAGTCCTGCCCTGCACTTTCACTACCAATGCTGCCCTCATCAACCTCAATGTCATTTGGATGGTCATTCCACTCTCCAATGCTAACCAACCTGAACAGGTACTTCTGTTCCATCCAATGCTTCCTCTAAAGTATTCATCTTCCCAGAAGAGGTAGGGAAGCATCCTGAGCACATATTTGATTTCCAGAGTAAGGTGACATTTTCAGTGTGCCTGTGCTCTTTTAAGTTCCACTCCTCTGCATCAGAAGAGGCTAGCTTCTTTTAAAAATACTCTTTTTAAAAATTAACAAAGCAAGAAGATTCTTTGGAGAGTTTTCTGTAGGAACCTGTGTAAGAAATATTGCTGGCAAGAAAATACCAGGACAGGAAAAGCAGAGTTTATTTTGACCAGAAGGGACTGGCACCAACACAGGTAGTTGAGAACTCACTTTTAAAAGATAGTGGTAATAGTAAGGAAATAATGTTAGGTTGTAGTACTTGATTGTTATAAGTTAATTTTACTAGCATTTAAAAATAAACATAACTAGGTATACTAGCCAGTATCAAAGAGTCTTATATAAATTAGAATATGCACGTGAAGGAATGTACCCAAAAAATGGAAGCTAGTCCCCAATAAACTGTATTAATTAAAGGAAAAAGACTCATAATTTGTAATATTCACCACAGAAAATAATGCTTAGAAAATTAATGAATTGTGATAATGGCTACACCTTTATTTATAATGATAACATTTAAATGAAGTTTTTCTGCTTCAATAAGTTTATTATTACCTCAAAATATTTGATAAACTAAATTTTCCGATATGAAATTCAATAGAAGCCTCTTTTGTTTCTTCAAACTGAAGAATTTTTGTAGTTAAACCGAGCCTTTGAGATCATTTTGCTCAACCTCATCACTTTAGGAATCAAGGATGGGGTCAAAGAGTTAAGAAAGAACTTGACTATAGTGACTCCGACGTTTATAGGTAGAATGTGAGCAGAACCGAGACCCTTATTCACAGCCCTCAGGGATTTTTGCTATGTCATTCTGAGTCTGCTGCATTGAATAGGTAACTTTGATAATAGAAATAAGAACAGCAATCATGGACTTGTGACACTTCTTCCCTTTTAGGGCATTTATTTATATTTAGTCTGTAACTATGATCTATCATTATGTGACCTAAGCATGAGAATGGCAATGCTAATATTTTAAAAAACTTTTTATTTTGTAATTAATTTTTTAAACGGGTAAAAATATTATGGGTATATAGTAAGATAGCATTAAAGATATTTTCTGTGTTCTGATAGGTTAGATAAGGTTAAAAAAGAATGTTATTTTAATTTGGTGTATGAGAATTTAGAACCCAGGATACCAGTGGGCAAGTACTATAACAAAAAGTTGGTGACAACTTTCAAATTAGAAATAAAATTTTCCAACATTTGGTACTGTCTACTTGACAGTTATTGTTATGTGTCTAGGAGGGTATATAGTGTCCAGTTTACTTATTTTGCTTTCTTTTGCAGGTCATTCTGTATCAGGGTGGACAGATGTTTGATGGGTCTCCTCGGTTCCATGGTAGGGTAGGATTTACAGGCATCATGCCAGCCACCAACGTCTCTATCTTCATTAACAACACTCAGCTATCAGATACAGGCACCTACCAGTGTCTGGTCAACAACCTTCCAGACAGAGGGGGCAGGAACATCGGGGTGACTGGTCTCACAGTGTTAGGTGAGTGACAGTAGAGTCCCAGGGGCCTGAGTCTTCACTTATGAATCCCCTCTCAAGCATATTCACTTCTGCCCTTCCTTCCACACTCTCAGTCTTTTTGTATTCCTTTTCCATAGTCTTCTCTTATTTCAGTCTCTACTTCTCCATGCTTCTCACATGTAGCTTCCCCACTCCTTTCTTCATTTCTAGGGGTCTCTAAAGCTTGCTTCTTCAATGACTTGGGTTTTTTTGCTTTTTGTGAGTTGGAGTCTCACTCTGTCGCCCAGACTGGAGTGCAGTGGCCGCTCCCGGCCACCGCAGCCTTGACCTGCTGGACTCCGGCGATCCTTCTGCCTCAGCCTTCCGAGTAGCCGGAATTACAGGCATGCGCTACCATGCCCGGCTGATTTTTTGATTTATTGTAGAGATGAGGTCTTGCTGCCCAGGCGGGTCTCGAACCCGCGGGCTCAGGCAATCCACTCACCTCAGCCTCCCGAAGGTGCGGGATTACAGGCTGAGCCAGGGAGCCCTGCTAATGACTTGTTTTGAAGGTGGAGAAAGGTGGTATAAAATACCATCAAAAGTGACCCCTCACTTTGCTTAAGTCTTTACAGGACAGAACTTACTGTTGAGAGCAAAATAAATCAAGAACTATTTATTGTGAGCAGGAAGCAGAAATTTTGGTATGTGTGAGATTAATACTATTACTCCGTATCTATGTAGCACTGAGAAGGATAACCACAGTTCTCAGTGCTTATACCTGGCGAAATTTAAATAATACCTCCTTTTACTCTCAGAAGTATCATTGTTTGAACATTATATTATTGTAACTTTAAGACTGAGACCAGATAGATTTAGAGCCTTTTCTGTGGTTGTATAGACAGTGAACAACAAAGTCTAGATTAACATTTAGGTCTCCTTCCTCAAACCAGCACTCTTTCCATTATACTGTGCTGTTAGACTATCTCATACTAAATCCATCCTCAACATGTCTTATTTCTCAATTCTCCTGTCTCTAAAATAAAACAGTTTTCTAAACGAATCCTTGTGGTAGAAGTGGTTAAATTCAGTTCATTAGGGGAGCTGGAGGAAATGCAGAGAAGGCTGAGGCTCCTGATTCTTCTCCATCCTACTCAAGTCTCAGAATCTCCTCCCATGATCCTTTGTCAGACTCCTCCCCCCCCATTTTCTTTTTCCTTCTGTTGTTGAGTCACTTAAGAATACACATGTTAGAGATTCTTGCCATTTTTCCTTTTTGCGTAAGAATATGCTATAACTTTGGGTGCCTTTTCTTCCAGACTTCAAACAGAATAAAGAAACTAAGGACCATGTTGGGGATTTCTATTCTCAAAATCTTAGTCATTGTATTATATTAAAAGTTATATAGATGTAAAAATACCCTGAGTACAGAGTGCTAATGAAAATAAATGCTATTCAGATGCTTATACCTGTAAGTTAGGTAAATGGCTTCCAAAATTATCCAGGCTGATTTATTTTTTCACTTTTTTAAAGGAAGAAAAAAGCTTTTAATTTATTTTATAATCAGTGCTACCTCCAAATTATTTTGAGTTTTCCTTCATAGTATCACAGTGGCAATGTCAAAGGCAGTAAATTGAGGAGACTGGTTTATCCCACCAGGGCAATCTAAGATTTTCATTCTTCCTGCCTATACTCTGTCATTGTTCTCTCTTTCCCTACCCATTTCTTTCCTGATTCCTCTGTATACTCTGTGTTCATTTTTTATTCATTCATTTATTCGTATTTGAAAGAGTGAATGTATTTATTGAAATAATCAGCATTATGAATACATCATCAATTGGACTTAAGCCATGCTGTCCGCATTGCCCAATGTGATATTTCAAGCCGTCTGCTTAGTTTATAAATTTATTTGCTTACTTGTCATTATATATTACTACTTGCTTCCTTTAGTGTTCTTTTTGATATTTTTTTGTTCCATGTCCTTTGTACCCTTATCTGTCTTACTGATTATAAGATGTCTACTGCATTATTATTAACTTCCCCTTTATTTGAACATTGCTCTAACTTTTTCCACCATAAAGCAGAATTTGATATAAAGTGGGGCTGTCTGATTTTCATTTATAACGTAACAAAGGACCTTGTTAAGGTAGCCTTAGCCAGAAAATAGCTGGGAGGATAAGTGTCTCTTTTCCTTGAAATCTTTTCTAAAAGTGGCCTCTTTCAGCAGTGTTTTTTAAAGGCAACATGTTGACACAAAGTATCTTAAGAATTATTCTTTAGAGGAAGCAGAGTGAAACCAAGATCATAAGATACCTTGAAAACATAATCAAAGGGTGTAGCCTCTTTTAACATATTTGCTCCCTGCTGACTGAGGCTGCAGGCTCTACATCTATGCCCAGGCCTCAAGAATGAGTACATGATGGTTCTCTGGCTTTAGCCATGAGGCTGTCTCCTGATATGTGTTCCATAAACCATGTTAACTGAGGTTCCAGTGTATTGAATGTTGATGTCTCTACCGTCATCACTAGGTTCATAGTAAATGTGTACTTTATTGCTTACTCTTCCTGTTATAGTTCCCCCTTCTGTCCCACACTGCCAAATTCAAGGATCCCAGGATATTGGCAGCGATGTCATCCTGCTCTGTAGCTCAGAGGAAGGCATTCCTCGGCCAACTTACCTTTGGGAGAAGTTAGACAATACCCTCAAACTACCTCCAACAGCCACTCAGGGTATGTACAGTGCTGCTTTTCCCATTTTGTTAGTTGTCATGGAAAATTCTGATTCTTAGATTCACAGAGTAATGATCTTGAATCGATTTTGAAAAATTATGCCCTATAACTGCTGAAAAAGCTTTCTGGATCATTTTGTGTTTTCAACTTTAAAGTAAATAAAACATCTTTCTCTTCTCTATGCTGCCTTTATGAAATGTGTTTCATCCAGTGGTAACTTTATTTGTAAAATCTGTTCCATTCATGTGAAGATTCAAAATAGTCAAACGATAGCTTCTTTGAGTTAACGCTGAGACAGTTCTTGAAGTTTATATCTGAGACTCTGCTTCCTACTTTAGGCACAACTGTCTGTTTTAGTAGGAGAAATATCAGCAAAGTTATCAGAGGGTTAATCCTCCTGTTGTCAAATTAGAGGAGGAAGATAGGAAAGAGAACAGATCACAGGGAACCCAGGAATTGATCACACCAGATAAATGAAGATGGAGAAGGCCTGAATGTCATGGATGGTTTCTACATTTAAATCTAGCTATTTAAATTTGATTTTAAAGGGGATATTCTTTACGTATTGAGGAGATTTTATGAAATAAAATGAGAGAAAATCATATAATTATATTAAAAATTCTTCTGTTTCAAGAAAACAGAATTTTACAACCTCGAATGTCACTTCATCTCTAATACAGATAAATGTTTCTTGTAGTATTCTCTGAGTAGATTTGCGAATCTTAATTTAAATATAAAGAGTTGGAAATTAATGGAGAGGCCCTAAACAACTTTGTGCTAAGTTTGAATCATATTCTAGTACATGCCTGCTGTGGAAAAGGAGAACCCTAAGTGTGTGATGAAGTTATGTATGTTAAAGAACCAGAGCCTCAAGCCTCTAAAGAACCTGTAAGTTTCCTTCAGGAATCCCAACAGAAATATGGGTGGACCTTCCCATCATCTTTTAATTAACCGAGCCTCAAATTCATTATTTAAAAAGAAAACTTTCTTTCCAACATAATTATTTTCGGGTTACTTTAGTAATTATTTCTGCCATCCTATTGTTCATTGCTAAATGCTTCAGCCACATTGTTGGCTAAATGGCATTTTCTTGTAGACTGACTTGTTAATGTCACCATTGTAAGTGGCACATTTAAAATAACTCTATCTTGACATACTGGAAACTATAACCAAATTTTAGATTTTCCAGTAACTATTTCGGTAAGAGTTTACCTCTCTGGGCCTACATTGCTTCCCCCCGCCTTTTCTTTCTTTCCTTCGTTCTTTTTTTTTAATAAGGGGGTTAACAATATCATCATCAAGGTCCTCTGTAGCCGCATGAACATCACATGATTTATTTTCATACTATTTCTGTGGAATGTTGGAAGGAGCTTAAAATTACAAATGAACATTTGACAGTGGTTATTTGTATGTAAGTTGAGAAATAGCTGTAAAAAGAGCCTTCCATACCTCTTTAATCCTGGATAATGTTTATCAGTGACGTTTCTTGGTGTCCTCTTTGCAACTTGAATATTCTTTGGTACTTTAGGTATAAAAGTGAACTTGAATGCCAGGGATGAAAACCTGTATCTTTTATGATTCAAATGCTGGATCAGTTATCAGAATTACTTTGGATAACCTTATCTGTCAAAATAGTACCTATTAAATGAGTCATTTTTAATTTAAATTTACCTTTTGATATCTATATTAATAAAATAGATCTCAAAATTGCATATAATCCCCAAATAACTTAGATTTTATTTCAGAAGATTTACTTTTCTAATTATGTCTATATTTGTTTAATAAAAACTCATGATACAATCTCTAAGAAAAGAATATTTGCCACTAGGGGAGGGCATTTCAGAAGTCTTTTGGTAACAGGGGAATAATATTTTGGGATTAGAATTTTCCTTATGTGTAGGGGCTTGCTTGGAGGAATTCCCTCTGACCAAGTCTGGGACAACTTGAACATTAAAATAAAAACATAGTTCATAGAATAAGGTGAGAATCACTTAATCCATACAGGTAAATATAAATAAATGGAAGAAAAGGGAAAGCTTGTCTTATGGCAAAATGCCAACAAATGTATATAGAAGGAATAATGGAGTCAGTAATTCATCATTGATGTCCAGATAGCAAGCAAAAGTTTGATGAAGAACAGGGTATTTATATAGTTCCAAAGTATGTCCCCATACATTCTTATTAATTAGAAGAAAACCTTATAATGGAGATACCTGGTAAATACTACTTTAACCAAATTATCAGAGTAAACTTCATGAATAGTGTGACAAACTGATATCATGTACCTCCTGATATAGGTACTTAGTAGAACACGTCATCATTTCTGTGATATTCCTGTCAAAAACACATAACCTGAATCTAACCATGAAGAAACATTAAACAAACAAATGTGAAGGCAAAACTATTACAAATGGAAAGAGACTAAGGAGTTAGGATGACTAAATGCCATGTAGAATCTTGCATTAGAGTCTGCACAGGACAAGTAGTAACTCTACAGGATGTTATTGAGTTAACTGATAAAATTTTAATATAAACTATGGATTAGATAATACTATTATATCTGTTAAATTTCTTTTCTTTTTTTTTCTTTTAAAGATGGCGGGGTACAATTCAGGGTTAGGTATACAAATGTTCATTATACAGGTACCCTTGTTCATAAGGTGTGTGTGCCCCTCCCTCTCTGGCAGTTTCCCTCAACTGCCAATCCCACCTCACCTCCCCTGACAGTTTCCCACTGCCGCCAATCCCCTTCTCATAGTATTATGATAATTGTTCAAGGTCCGCTTATGAGTGAGAGCATATGGTACTCTTTCTTTGTTTCTGTGATAGATTACTGAGTATGAGTGTTAAATTTCTTAAATTTGATACTTGAACTATGATTATGTAAAGAATATCTTTGTTCTTAGGAAATAATCACCAAGTACTTCATGGTAAATAGGCATGATGTCTTCAACTCACTCTTAAATGGTTCAGAAAAAAAATTATATATTTAATGAGAGAATGATAAAGCAAATAGGGCAAAATGTAAGCAATCATTGAATCATTCTTGCAGTTTTTCTGTAAGTTTAAAATTACATTGAAATAAAGGTTACCAAAAAAATTGTCCTTGTATAATTCATATTCAAGAGTTGAGTGAATCTAGAACCACTAACCTATGTGGTATGCTTCATTCTTATACAGAGAAATAATAAGATGGATTTAGTATCTTCTTGGTAAACAGCACATTTGAATAATTAAAATGATATCAAAGCAACTTTGCTTACAGAAAGATATGAAATAAAATATACCCCTTAACTGCAAAAACAACAACAAAAAAGGACACCAAAACCCCAAACAACTTAAAGATGACTTTATTTGAAGCAAAATGCAGCAGCTTGGTCTGTGCTTCTGAGACTTGTACAGTAGACACAACACACACACACACACACACACACACACACACACACACACACACATATACACACACACACCCCAAACAGAATACTATTCAGCCTTCAAAAAGAAGTAAATCTTGTCATTTGTGACAACATGGATGAACCTGAAGGATTATGCTAGTTGAAATAAGCCGGGCATAGAAAGAAAGATACTATGTGGCCTCACTTACATGTGTGCTGTAGTCTCAATGTTTGTGTACCCCCTAAATTTATGTGTTGAAATATTAACCCCCAAGGTGATGGTATTAGGAGATGAGGTTTTGGGAAGTGATTAGGTCATAAGGGTGAAGCTGTCATTATTGGAATTAATACCCTTATAAAACAGACCCTAGATAACTACCTAGTCCCTTCCACCATGTGAGGACTGTAAGGGTAGGTTCACTGTGCACTGATTACTTGCCCAAGTGTGGTGAGATAAAACATTTATATACACAGCAAGTTACGTGAAGTGGATTTATTATTTACAGATAGGAAGCAAGAGTCAACAGAAGCCTAGGATATATTACAAGGCAGTTCCTCAAGGCTCATGAAGGCTACCTGGAGTGGATAGTCTCATCTGCACACGCCTACTTGCACATCAGCTGAGGGATCCCGGAAAGCAGCCCATTCTGGGTTCTGTATACCTATGGGTTACAAGAGTCACTGAACGGAAACATTGAAGGACATCCTGTTTCTAGGAGGGACTGGAAAAGAGCCTACAGGGTTTGGCAAGTTCTTCTTTAATCCAGGATGTTGTATTCTTAGCATTTTCGACTGTTATTCTTGAGAACTACAAGCAAGAAAGCAGGGAGAACTGGGTTGGTCCAAGGCCACCTGAAGAACTGTTCGGAAATGGTATAGCAAAAAGGTGGTGTCATTTATAAATCAGGAAATGGACCCTCTACAGACACTGAATCTGTGGCTTTGATCTTTGTCATCCTAACTCCTAGAATGATGAGACCAAGCAAATGAAGCCCATGAGACAGGAGTGTGCGTGGTGTGTTTGATGAATATCAAGGAGACCCCTGTGTTTGGTATAGAATGAGCAAGGCAGAAAGTAGTGAGAGCTGTTATGTCCAATTGTAGATGCTAAGATTTATGTATATATTGCATACGAAACTTCATTGTATTGCTCAATATTCTATATCTTTAGCAATATTTTATCTGCTCCAGATATTATTTTATGAGAAAGATATGTTTTAAAATCCCACCAAAATGTTGTAGATTTGTTAATTTGTTCTGCAATTATGCCAATTTTTCTTTATCCATCTTGACTCTATGTCATTAGGTGCTTACAGGTTTGGTATATAACATTGGTTCCCTGTGCTTAATATGCTTTTTGCATTTATTACTTATTAAAATTAAAAGTTACAGTAGCTTTCTTTAGTTTTTGTTGGTATGGTTCTATTTTACAGTTCATTGGCTTTCAACTTTTCATGCTGTGTATCCTTTAGAAACAGCATATATCTGGATTAGTTTAGTTTTCATTCTGCAATCTGAGAGCTTCTACCTTTTGACTGTTTGAATCAATTACATTAATTATGGTTATGGATACAGTTAATTTCTGATATCTTGTCTGATCTTTTC